TTAATAACAATGTATTATATAACAGAAAATTGTTGAGAGTTGATTTAAACATTCTCACCACCAATGAATGGTAAGTATATGAGGTTTGTGTTCTTAGCCCAAATTAGCCATTCTAAATGTATACATATAACAAACATCATATTGTACACCATAAATGGATGTAATTTGTATTGATTTAAAGAATTTAAACAGGGGACCAGCAGATGGCATGATGGTTGAGGCATGGGACATTTCCACATAGCCGACCACAGTTCTAGTCCCAGACCTGGTGGCAAACTGGCAAAGACCCTTCCACAGAAAGAGCCACCACTTAGCTCTAGCTATGTTTCTACATGTGTCCATGTGAAAATATGAGCTTCAGGTTGGCTTTCTGTTTTCTCAGAAGAACCCAATAGTTCATTTTTATATAAAATATCTAGATTTTTGTAATGCTGGAAATAACTCATTGTTTAAAAGGATTGTGTAATATGCAATGTTTACAAATGTGAATAAACCAGAACAAATAAATGCTACCACCACCACCTGTGTCTGTGGTAAACTGGCTTGATGATGACGGGGTGCTGTTTTACAGGGTGTTGCAATAGCATTTAGGGTTTGTCTCCTCAGGTTCAGGAGATCTAGCAGGTCTTTTCCAAAATGAGCACTTCAGTATATTGAACCCTTGAGGTTTTGAACTAGTTTAAGGGGTTGGTGAGTTCTCTCTTACAAAGCTGAACAGTAGGGCCAAGAAGTGGTATAGTGGTTAAAGGGATGGATTCTCACATGGCAGACCGTGGTTTGAGTCCTTGACCCCATGGCTTGAAATATCACACCAGGCACATGTGGATGCATGCCCAAAATCCCAAAAGGAAATGGAAGAGAAGGAATTGCAACATGGCCATCCCCCTTGGGAGATGATTTCTCACTTTCCCTCTCTCTGGTCTCTCTCTATCACTCCATCTCTGTCTGGTGAACACATGCACCCTTTATCAAAAACCTAAAAAAAAAATAAATAAATAAATAAGCTCTACAAATATTAGGTCGTAAGAAAAGTCATGACATATTTTTCTATGAGAAAATGTGTCATGACTTTTCTGACAACCCAATATTTTAGGGTGGCAGACCATACTCTATCCTATCCCAATAGTCAGCTCCACCACTGAATCACAGAGGCAGCTTTAGACAATCCATAAGCGAATGGACATGGTTGTGTTCCAATGAAACTTTATTTACAAAATTAAGTGGCATGCCAGAGGCCCTCCTAGTTTGCCAACCCCTGATCAAGAGGATTTCATAGAGAAGTTTAGAAATCCCTATAATACCATATCCTTACATCTATTATATAACAGAAACTTGTTGAGCTACCATATGAAGGTATCCAAAAAAGCATGGCAGAAAAAAAATAAAGTTCTGAGTTTTTCAAAATAAATGCTATTGCTACACCCTGTAAACCTAGTGCTTTCCTGCAGAATGTACTGCTGACCAGAAGAAATGACTCTTGGACCTTCATACTCCTCCCCTTGGTGACACTTACCTTGCCTACTCCATTTCTAAGTGACATCCTCTAATTTTGCTTATGCTAATTGTACCAGTCAGGAAACATGGCTCTAGACCAAATATTCTGGGTTTAAATTCTATCTTGGACACTTACATTGGATAAGCTGTTTAATTTCTTTATGCCTCAGATTCCTTACCTGCAAAATGGGTCCAATAATAGATCACATATTGGGATCAGCAGATACAATAGTTGCATTACTGGACTCCCTTGTAGTTGACCTTGGTTTGAGTCCTGGACCCAGCAGCTTGAAACTCATGCCAAGCATTTGTGTGTGCATGCCCAAAATCCCAAGGTAAGAATGGAGGAGAAAGGATTGTGGCGTGGCCATCCCCCATGGGGAATGATTTCTCACTTTCTGTCTCTCTATCTCTCTCTGTCTCTCCAGTGAGCACATGCACCATATAGTAAAAATGTCTATTAAAATTTTTATACTAATATAGGAAATGAGTCAGTAAGTGTAAAGTGCTTCAAATACTAACTAGTACATAATCAGCACTCATTTTAAATACAATTTAATGATTACTTATTAAACACACTTTGCCATTTTTGGAGGGGTTGCTGTAGTCCACAAAATATTCCCCTAAAAAGACAAATATTAGAAAGGTCTATATTGTGACTTTTTAGTAATGGCCAACAACATGGTGAAAGCAGGCCCTGGACTGCAGACAATCACTGGGAATGTGGCAAGTACACCATTTCCATTCCCCGTTCCCTCTTCTCTCTCTTTTTTCTTTTCTTTTCTTTTCTTTTCTTTTCTTTTCTTTTCTTTTCTTTTTTTCTTTCTTTCTTTCTTTCTTTCTTTCTTTCTTTCTTTCTTTCTTTCTTTCTTTCTTTCTTTCTTTCTTCCTTCCTTCCTTCCTTCCTTCCTTCCTTCCTTCCTTCCTTCCTTCCTTCCTTCCTTCCTTTCTTTATTTTTTTAAAGAGGTTTTTGCTATAGGGCACATGTGCTCGCCAGAAAGACAGAGAGAGAGACAGAGAGACAGAAAGCAAGAAATCACCCCCCGGGGGGATAGCCAAGCCGCAATCCCTTCTCCTCCATTCTCCTCTTGGGATCTTGGGCACTCATGCACACCAGCGACATAGCCATTACTCCAACTGCTGGTCCTCCCTCTTCTCACTCTTTGCCATCTATGCCAAACACAAACACTTGATCTTCTCAATTCCTTCACCAAGTAAAAGGTCCTTTAGCTGATCTTAGACTAAGAGAAAATCTTAGGGAACACCACTAGCTCTTATAAAGTCCCAGTCTCCTGAAATGAGGTCATGTATTACCCTTTCCAACAACCCACAAAATCTCTCTCTGGGATTTCATCCCTCGATAGCTCTCCTACCATCTGAAGGAGTGTCAGAGATCACACCAGGAGGTGGGTTACCCACACAGAGGCAGGTGGCAGGAGATCCCAAGCTGAAGGGCCAGCACAAACAGGAAACTTGGGGAGGTGACCTCAGTCCTTCACAATGAGTCTGACTTTGTTTAAAGTACAGAGAACAAATTCCTGACAAAATTCCCTCCAAACTCATATACAAATAAGTTACTTTTAAATACCAGGACTTTCCCCTCCGTTATTGAGAGTTATCTCTGTGTCTAAAAAAGTGTACACTATCAATACCTTAGATTTAGTTTATGACATTTAAAATTGATATGAAGGCCAGCTCTGCGGCACAGTGTAATTTCTATTTAAGAAAAGCTGGATTCTACATGGTGACCATGGTTTGAATCTCTGGCCTTGTCAGCCCAGAACATGCTGAGCACTCATACAGGTGCTCCAGATCCAATGGCCTAGAGGACTACAGGAAGGGGATCATGCATGGCCAGGCACTGTAGAGAGCTCATCTCTCTCTCTCTTTCTTATTCTCTTTTTCTTTTTCTCTCTCCTCTCCTCACTCACACATGCACACAACCTATCATGAAGAAAGAAACATAAACTGATCATGAACCTTCTATCTTTTGTGTTTGAATCAGTACTGGAAGTAAATAGGGACTTGCGGAATTAATTTGTGTACACTGAGAATATTTACTGAAAGGCTATTTTAATATAGTTTCTGATACAACTAATTATTTCCCTAAATATTTTGTATTTTTCAACTTCCAATAATATCTCATTTAAGGTCCCTTAAAGAGCAATCAGAGAGAGGAGTACTTTAAACAACCTATTGAATACAAATGCTCATCCTAAAACAGCAAAGAAAATGTTAAAAAAAAAATTGATAACTCCTGATTATTAAGATTTTTTATGTTTAATACCAACTGAGTAAATACTATTTTCTTAGGTGGCAGTTGTTTAGGTAATTACAATTTTATTCTAGGATGATAAAGGTCAGCTTATTACCATAACACCTTTGTCATTGAAAACAGTAAGTTAAGAGACCTGCAGATAGCATAATGTCCACATTACTGGACTCCCACACACTCAACTGCAGTTTGAGTCCCTGATCTGGTAGCTTGAAACTCACGTGTGCATACGTGCCCTAAATCCCAAGAGGAGAATGGAGGAGAGGGGACTGTGACATGGCTATACCCTCTGGGAGGTGATGTCTCACTTTCTGTCTCTGTCTCTTTGGTAAGCACATGTGCCCTATAGTAAAAATATCTCAACAAAAATTAATTACTTAAAAAAAGTTTTTTAATTAAAAAAATAAAAACAGTAACTTAGGGACCAGCAGGTGGTATGGTGGTTGAGGAATTGGACTCTCACATAGATGACTGTGGTTCGAGTCCTGAACCTGGCAGCTTGCTTTCTCACTTTCTCTCTCTCTGTCTCATTCAGGTCAAATTAGAAAACAATAATAATAATAAATAAAATAATTCTTTAAAAAAGTAACTTATTTCTTAATTTCTTTTTTAAACATAGAATTAACATTTCTATTTGAGCGGGAACCAGCAGTTAGCATAATGGCTATGTCGCTGGACTCCACGTAGTCGACCGTGATTCCCGTCCCGGACCCGATGGCTTAGAACTCACGCTGGGCGCATGTGCATGTGTGCCCAAGATCCCGCGAGGAGAATGGAGGAGAAGGGATTGCGGCATGACCATCCCCCCTGGGGGGTGATTTCTCGCTTTCTGTCTCTCTGTCTCTCTCTGTCTGTCTGGCGAGCGCATGCGCTCTATAGCGAAAACCTCTCCAAAAAAAAAAATTTCTATTTGAGACTCAATAATTACAACTGCTGTTGTTAGTAATAAACTATGTTCTATGTTTACGTTATATGAGAAATTTAAGAACAGTTAAGATGAGAAGCTTTAACTGAATAAGGATGGCTTGTAATGAAACGTATGCTATGAGTGACTGAAGACAGAAGACTTGAAAATTAAAAGAGCTATTTGATAATTGTATGTGTGTGTAAGTGTGTGTGTGCATGTATGTATAAGCACGTACATGTGTACACATACACACATTTGTGTTGACAATAATATTCATAGATCATTACTGCATAACTAAACAAACAAGTATGCCATAGACTTACCACAACTTAGATTGCTTTCGGCCTTCAGAGCTAGGGTTGGGATAGTCCAGAAGTCATTTTGCCAATCGACCACATTCCCCTTCACATTACAGCTGAGGTTAGAGAGGATTTTGGAATTCATGGTGAAATTCCAAAGTCGAAAGTTATAAATGTCCCCTTTCAGAGAGGCAATTTCATTTTGATTGGAGCCCAACAACAATTTCCCATTCCCGGGAATAACTTTACTAATGGTAGAATCACATGGAACAGTTTCATAGGTTTTTTTGAAATTTACACCAACAGAGCCCACAGAATTATTCCAAACAATACAGAGCTGCTCGAAGCTTTCCGTAAAAATGTCTTCTTTGTCCTTGACAGATAGCACGCTGTTTAGCAGGCATTTGGAGTCAGAAATAGATAGAAAGTAGTCACTTTGGGCCTTTCCAAAACTGAGTAAGTGTGTGGAGGATGCATCTGAGTAGGAGAAAGCTGTCCAGTCATGGTCTTCATTGCCAGCTTTGGTTGCCTCAAAGCAGAGTGTGAAAGCGTTCAGCTCTGGAATGGATACACTTTTTGCAACAGATACCTGGTAAGCATCTAGTGTTGGTGGTAAAATGACCTTTTGATTCCTTAAGGACACAGCAACTAGGATAAAACACATCAACAAAGTTAAAGCATATCAACTCCAGAACATGACCTAATGAAATGCAAAATGTCTGAATAATCAGGTCCTCCACCACTTTCTACTAACTCTTTACACCCTTTGCCCCATCACTCCTGGTCTTCTTTGTCTTCCTCTATCATCATCCACAACTAGTTGTCTTAAACTACTACTAAGATATCCCACCTATTTTAAAAACTCGAATCATGATTGGACCTCACATCTAAACCTTTCTCCTTCTTTTAAGTTTCTTTCTTCTTTCTTTCTTTCTTTCTTTCTTTCTTTCTTTCTTTCTTTCTTTCTTTCTTTCTTTCTTTCTTCAATAGGAGAGACAGACATGTAACCCCACAAAGACCATAGGTCTTTGTGCTATGAGCCATCCCAGACTGTCAAAATTTTAGGGACATGTTATATGCCCAGCATGTACAAGGAGGCTCCTGATCATAAACCTCAGACATTCCCATACGGCCTCAGTATTGCAGGGCATCACCGCTGGCTTCACATCTGAACCTTTGAGTTACAGCCAATCAGGTTGGTAAGATTTTTCAAACTCTGAACTAAACACTTTTATAAAATGGAGGGGCAAGCAGATGGTGTAATGGTTATGTCGCTGGACTCCCACACAGTTGACCGCAGTTCGAGTTCTAGCTAAAAACTCATGCAGGGCACACGTGTGCGCATGCCTCAAATCCTGAGAGGAGAATGGAGGAGAAGGAATTGAGGTGTGGCCACCCCCGCCCCCCAGGGGGTGACTTCTTGCTCTCTATCTCTCCGTCTTTCTGACAAGCACATGTGCCCTATAGCAAAAATCTCTCAAAAAGGAAAAGAAAATTTATAAAATTGAATTAAAAACAGGGGAACCAGCAGATGATATAATGGTTACATTGCTGGACTACCATGCAGTTGACCAAGGTTCAAGTCCCAGACTGGTGGCTTGAAAGTCACACTGGGTGTGTGTGCATGTGTGCCCGCGTGTGTGCTCAAAATCCCAAAAGGAAAATGGAGGAGAAGAGATATCGTGCTCTCTCTCTCTTTCTCTCTCTGTGTCTCTCCAGCAAGCACACATGCCCTATAGCAAAAACTCTCAAAAAATTCTGAAAAAAAAAATAAAACAAACACTTACTACGTAATTAAGGAAGCAATTGGATCCAGGAAGGCTGTTTATACATTAGAATTTTTTTAAATGTTATTTTTCAAAAACAATTTCAAAACCTAACTAATAGTTCTATATTTCATTAACAATTGCCTTTTATTCTTCCCACAAATCCCTAAAGCCTCTCTCTCTTCAGATACTTAAGAAAAAGGTTAACAAGAATTCCATTGAGGAGAGGGAGTCTAGTGAAAAGCCAAAACAATGAAATATGAAGGTTTAGTTCTTTTTTCTTCTTTTTTTGTTTTTTCCATCCAGGCATATGAACTAGTTTTTGAAAGATTCTTAGGAGTAGTGTTTAAAGGACAGACTACATTGGGCTAGATGGTGGTGTCACTGTAGAACAAAATGCTCTGGGCGACTGACCCATGGAAAGGTTCCACGCTCACGTCCAGAAACATCCCTGAGTACACCAGGCATACACATGTCCATAACCCCAGGAGCTGAAAGTGTATGGTGGCATCAAGAGCCTGTGGGGGTGCTATCTTTCTGTCCATCTCTATCTCTTTTTTTCTCTTTTTTCAGAAAGAAATAAAAAAATCTTAAAAAAAAAAAGAATGAAAAGAAAAGGACAGAATATGGAGCTTAATGTCTCAGTTTTTTCATGTGGTAACCACATGACTGTAGGCTTGTTACTTCATCCCTCTCTACCTTAGAACCCTCAACCGTACAGTGAAAGACAAGGGTGCCTTTGCACAGATGGTCAATGAAAGCCAAAGAAGTTAATATCTACACAACACAGACAGCCCATGTGGTTACTACTAATTAATTTAAGATACTTTGTGATATATGTGAAATTATTAAGTAAAGCAATGGGTTTAGTCCTTTGCTACTATAATAAACATTATGAAATTGACTTGAGAAAGAATTATTCTCCTCAAAAATACTATTTAATACTGGTTTCACACGAATGGTAGCTTGAATATATTTTAATATACACCCAGAATAGCTCTGTGGTAGAAACATGCTTTTAATATATTCTAGTGAGGGACTAGCAGTTAGCATAATGGCTATGTCGCTGAACTCCCATGTAGTCGACTGCGGTTTGAATCCCGGACCCAGTGGCTTAAACTCATGCCGAGTACGCATGCGTGCGTGTCCAAGATCCCGGGAGGAGAATGGAGGAGAAGGGATTGTGGCGTGGCCATCCCCCTTGGGGGGCGATTTCTCGCTTTCTGTCTCTCTGTCTCTCTTTGTCTTTCTGTCGAGTGCACATGCCCTATAGCAGAGAAAACCTCTCCAACAACAACAAATATATATATATACATATATATATATATGTGTGTGTGTGTGTGTGTGTGTGTGTATTTATATATATAACTGAGTATATATATATTCTAGTGAAAATCCATGATATAATTTGAAAGAATCAGGGATTTAGCCAATTTTGAGTATAAAGCAATTTATATATCTACTTACAGAAAAGAATATGTATAGAATATGAACTCAGTATTCTATATTCGTTTTAAGCCTAGAAGGAAATATACCCATTAACATTTTATTAGTGGCTATGGTAAGTAGTGGACATATAGTGAGACCAGCAAATGGTGTAATGGTTATGTCACTGAACTCTCACATTGTTGACCGTTCAAGTCCTGGACCTAGCAGCTTAAAATTCACGCCAGGTGTGTGTGTGTGTGTGTGCCCAAAATTCCAATAGGAGAATAGAGGAGAAGGGATTGCAGCATGACCAAACCCCTGGGGGTTGATTTCTCGCTTTCTGTCTCTTTGTCTCTCCAGTGAATATACACACCATATAGCAAAAATCTAAAAAAATTTAAAATTAGAAAAATGCAGAGGATATATAGTTAATTCTAATTTACTTTTTTATTCTAAATGTCCTATATTTTGAAAAATTAAAGTATACATATTTTGCTGAATATACATATACTTAATATTAATTACACATAGTGAATAACTCCTCAAACAAAATACCTGTAGTAATAGGAGTTAATAATTTTCTTAGTTATGTCTGTTTTGTTTTTTTTTTTTCTTTTTTTTTGGAGAGGTTTTTTTTTTTTTTTTTTTTTGCTATAGGGTGCGTGCACTCACCAGACAGACAGACAGAGAGAGACATAGAGACAGAAAGCGAGAAATCACCCCCCGGGGGGATGGTCACGCCACAATCCCTTCTCCTCTATTCTCCTCTCGGGATCTTGGGCACGCACGCACACGTGCCCGGCGTGAGTTCTAAGCCACCGGGTCTGGGACACAAACCGCGGTCGACTACGTGGGAGTCCAGCGACATAGCCATTATGCTAACTGCTGGTTCCCAGTTATATCTGTTTTTAAGATTATTTATTTATTTATTTTATGTGACAGAGAGAAAAAAATGAGAGTGAAAGAGAGCGAGAAAAAGAAAGACAAGGAACCCCGGGAGGGTCTTATCATGCTGTGGTCCACCTCTGCTCCAGTTTCCCAGCCAGCCAGAATCATGAGTAGGTCAAGCACATTCAGCTTGACGCAGGAACTGAACCCTGGGCCTTCTCTCATGGCTCTATGTCATGCAGTAGTGTCCCACCACCCGTGCCACTGAGACTGGGCCTATGTCTATCTTTTCCATTTACTTTTTAATATATGTTATCTATTGGCCAGCAAGTGGCCTGGTGGTTAAAACGGCTGGATTCCCACATGGCCAGCCATGCTTCAAGTCCTGAACCTGGTGGCCTGAAAATCACACCAAGGACATGGGCATGGATGCATGCCCAAGATCCCGAGAAGAAAATAGAGGAGAAGGGATTCCAACATGATTATCCCTCCAGAGGGTGGGGGCAGACTTCTCACTTTACCTCCCTCTGTTTCTCTTCTCTCTAGCAAGCACGTGTGTACCTTATGGCAAAAACATGCGAAAAAAACGACATCTACATAGGAAGTTCAGAAGAGTAGAAAAAAAAAAGTATAACTAAATCTCATGATCTTGAAGCTTCAGTTTCCTTAAACCTCAACTGGTTTTAGAGACAATAAGATTATTTAAATGTTATGATGAACCAGAATCTGAGAAACATTTTTAAAAAGAATTATTTATTTAATTTCATATATTTATTATTATTTTCAATTTGCCATAGAGCATATACACTCACCAGAGAGAGATGGGGTCAGGGGACAGGGGCAATGAGAAAGCAAGTTGGTAAGTCTGAGACTCGAACAGTAGTTGGTTATGTGGGAGTCCAGCACACTAGTCTCCACACCACCTACTGGCCCCCTGGGAAACATTTTTATAAAAATACATTTAAGATCCTTTAAGTAGCCATTTCAGGAGACTTTCCTCAGGCTATGTTGTTTATTAGTTATTAATAACTCTTTTTAAATTTACACATAATTTTTATATTTGTTTCCTAGCATAATTCTTTAAAAGGTTACATCTTAAAAGCCTAGAATAAAATAACTTCTAAATAGGGGTGTTTTAGTTTTTCAGCATCGAGGTGTTAGAATTACAGATTTTAAATATTAGCAGTGGACTGTCTAGTTCTTTCCAAGTTGACTTTAAATGTTCTGCATATAAATATAAAAGGATTCAGCTCTATTGTATCCAGACTTGGGATCTGGTAATTATATTTAGCCAATGAGAATACTCAGAGAAGATCAGCAGATTCTTGCCCTTAAATCTCAATCCTAATCATTCACATTCAAATAAAAGAGCATAACTTGTCTTCTGGTTCTTGTGTTTATTGTAGAACATGTTAAATGAAAGCAGAAGGTTGGCGCTGTCTTTGGTTTACATACCTCTGATGTAGCTGGCGTTGAAACCTTTCTTCTGGATGCTAAAGTCACTTGAAAAGGACACATGCATCTCATTCGCACTCGAGTTAAATGATAGGCCTTTGGCAGTTGCTCCACAAAATTTAGTCTGGCTCTCTCCATTATCAAGGGATAATGAGTCATAAATGCAATTGGGAGCTTCTTCAATGTCGAAGTCATTGAACGTTATCTGAATGATGTAGCCGGTGGGGGCTCGGAGTGTCCACATGCAAGCCTGGCTGTTAGGGTAGTCGTTAGGGTAGCACGGAGAAGTAAAGGTCCCAGAAGGATGGGATAGGACAACCCTGCAGTTGGCACAGCCCCACACTGTTGGCCAGACAAAAGAGAGAGAAAAGACTGGGATTAGACGTACATAATAAACCCAGAATACCACACACTAGGGACAATAAAATAGCAAATATTTAAGAATACCACAATACAATCATAAAAATGAAAAGGAAAATAAAACCTTCTTGAGGAGGACAAGAGATACTAATAGAACAACAAAATGTTTTAAAAATACATAAAATTTTAGCAATGATTTTTAAATTTGGGAGAATTCTCTTTTGAGAATCTGATGAATGTGAATTTTCTCCAGGTAAATTCACAGACAACACTGCATGTGGCTACAGTTTCAAGGAGTGCATGAGGCCTCAGGAGCCAATGAAGGATTTCACAAATATTCATTGACCCTGGTTAAGAATCTCTACTCTAGGGACTGGCAGGAGGCATGGTGGTTAAAGGCACTGGATTTTCACGTGGCCAACCACGGTTCAAGTCCCAGATCTGGTGGCTTGCTTTCTCACTTTCCCTTTCTCTCTGTCTCTGTCTGGTCAAATTAAATAATAATAATAATAATAATAATAATAATAATAATAATAATAAATTGAATTAAATAAATAAATGCTTTCAAAAAATATAAAATGAAATTACTATCCAGACCCTTTAATAAGAGCAGACTAGATAACATATGGCACTCAAGAAAAAAAAAACAAAAACAAGAGTATTACAGTAAAAGAAGCCTGGGGTGTGGCTACAATTTCTATAATAAAGGTTAATATTTTAAATTCAGGTCAATGGTTTTCAGAGACACGATTCTTAAGTACAGGGTATGAGTTCAAGATACTGGCACAGTTAGATCTTGGGGCTTTGGCCTTTCTTAGATAATATCAAAGAACCTTGGAGAACCAGGCAGACAAGCAGCTGTGAGAAGTACTGAATTGGATGTGGGCAAAAAACCTTGTGATCAAACAGCAGTGTTATCACCCACTGTTACTCAATGACATTTTTCTTCAGACAGTACTCTTGCTATCAGCCAAACTAGAATATGCAAAGATCTTCAATAACTGAGAAACACTGAGAAACTTACTTTCAGAATACCTATCTCAGAAATCATGTTGTATTTTTTCACCTTTACTTCCTCTTCTATTCCCCACAAAGACTTCTTTTGCACTCCCATGAAAGCCTGCTGGTCACATCGTCTTTAAAATGTTTTTATATTACCAAAAAAGATCTGATGGCCTAAATTTTAACCCCTGTCACCCTCCCAGTATGGTTTGTGTTTTAACCCAAGAAGAGAGTCATAAATTTAAAAGAATCTACTGTTTCTACTGAAGCTTATTTTTGATTTGTTTAATAACTTTGAAATGACAAGAATAACACTTGTCCTTTGTAGAAAACAAAATACTTAAAGCAAAAGAATGAAGCATTTTATTGGGTCATTGGGAAAGTCATGACACATTTTTTGCAAAGAAAAACAGACAAATACATCATGACTTTCCTGATGACCTAATAAAATTGTAATAATATCTTGACATTAAGGTGCATTAATCTGGGGCCAAGAGGTGGTGTGGTGGCTAAAGGCACTGGATTTCCACATGGCCAACTGCAGTTCAAGTCCCAGACCTGGTGGCTTACTTTCTTGCTTTCCCTTTCTCTCTCTTTTTCTCTCTCTGTTTCTGTCTGGTCAAATTTAATAATAATAATAATAATAATAATAATAATAATAATAAATTGAATTAAATAATTATTTAAAAAAATATATCTACTCCAGAAAGTAACTGAACTGGGGTTCAAGAGGTTAGGGAATCAAAAGGTAGAGCTCACTATTACAAACCAGAGAAAATCTTGGTAAATAAATATTTACATTGAAAGCTAACAATGCAAACACATAAATAAATAAATAGGTTATCTTCTAGCAGATTGTACTTTTTTCCCTAAAACATCACCTTTCATGTGTGACATATTTATAGCTTTCAAAGTACTTTCACTTATCCTGTTTGTTTATCCTAGTTTGTAATTATACATTTGTGTGATTTTCTAATTTACTCATTCACCCAGTAAATATTATTGAGTGCCTATTATATACCAAGCACTATTCAAAATCATATGTATCAATGAACTGGAAAGACAAAGTCTCTATATGAAGGATATTAATATTTCAGTGTTGGGCCCAAAGACAATAAATAATACCATGTTAGATAAAGATAAGAGGTAGAAATAAAAGTAAAGCAAAGCATAGAGAATGACATGAATAGGTGGAGACACTAGATGGTTCACCAAAAAGGTGATGCGAGCAAAAATTCAACTGAAGTAAGGGAATATGCCAAGAGTATACTAGGGGAACAGCACTGTAGGTCAAGGGAACAGCAAAAATAAAGACCCATTATAAATGAATGCTGGTCTCTCCCATTGAACTGGGAGTTCCCTGAGGCCAAGGGTCATGTCTTCTTTGTTCATCACTGTATCCCCAGTGTATAGGACAGATTCAAAATAGATATTAACAGAATGAATGTACATAGAAGAACCTTTTTATGTAGAAAAGAGAAACGTTATTATCTCATTTTCACTAATGAAAACAATTAGGATCTGCCCAACAATTATTTACCCTGGCTACTAGCTGGTCAATTGTCTTCCAAAAATCAAAGTCTACTGTCTTCCTATCTAAAGAAGCCTTTGTACATAATGTTTGTGTTGTTTTTAAATATTTGTCTAGGGCTGGCCCCCCAGCCTAGTGGCAAAGGGAGCTGGATCCCACACAGTCAACAGTGGTTGGATCCCTGCCTGGGCAGCTTGAAAAACACACTGTCATGTGTGTGTATATGCCCAAAAATCCCAACAGGAAGGAGAAATGGAGAAGGAACTGCAGTATAACTGTGCCCATTAGGGGCTACTTCCTCCTTCTCCCTTCTTTCAGCAAGTAAACATACCCTCTGGTAATGAAATATCTATTTGTATAAGTGAAGGCAATAATCTCAATTAACCCAAAATTCTAGATAGAGAAATTGCCATAAAATGGACAGATGAAAAGCTTTAACCATGTTAATGAAATCAATCAAAAATTATTTAAGTGATTTTTGATGAGTAGAATGTCTATAAAATAACTTTTCTCATAAATGACAGTTATTGCAAATAGTACTATTTTTCTATGCTGTAGTGATATATTCAAGGACCCAGATGTGCTACAGTGCTTGAGTTGAGTTTATAATTTTCCCTGTGGAAACTACCTTCCCAGTTCTTCTCTCCAACCATTCTTTTTTACTTGCCTTTCCCCTGTGCATCCTCCCTAAGTCTCTGACATCTTTCATGGGGCCAAAGGCAGAAATGGAAAAACAAATTATGATCATCCAGTGTCTGCCAGATGCCTTTTCTTATCCATCCCTGGAGTGCCATGTTCCTCTATTTTGTAGCACTTTTCAGAGCTGCTGCAGTATTTGTTTGTGTGATTTTTTCGCTTTTTTAAATCTGTCACCTCCTGCTAGTCTGTAAACTCAACAAACAGAAGGCATGTACAAGCAAAGTGTATTCACCATTCTATTCCCAACACTCCACAGCATTTTTTGTGCATGGGAGAGCTTCAGTAAAATGTGTTATATTTATGATCAAATAGATGAGTAGCTTAAATGAAGGGCAACATGCCTGCATTAAAGAGTGACTAAGTACAGTATATGAAACAAAGTAAAAGTCTAAGTATGAAAAAAGATGATGTGCATGAATTCTGGTGATCTCTTAGGATGGCTCTCTGGCATTCTTTTTTCTAATTATTTCACTCATTCAGGATTGAGATGACTTAGCCTTTCTGCCAGGCTGAGTTTCACGTTATTGTGCCATAAGCTCAAGAGGGAGAAGTAATCCTAGTCCATTAATAAGAACCCACCCAAAAATAAGCATTAGAGATTTAAAAAGAAAGTAAATGAAAGAAAATAAATAATTTCTGTATCATCCCAACAGGTAAGCAGGCAACATCATTTTTCAAAGACAAAATGCCACTCTCTGTAACCAAAACCCAGGTAATGTTCATTGACTTCTTTTATCTTGATACTTCTTTTATCTTCATTTATCTTTATCTTTGCCATATCTTCCCTAAAAGCTGAATGAAGGTATAGGAAAATTAAACTGGACTGATAATACTGCTCATATAATCTTAAACAAGTTAACTTCTCTACACCTCAGTTCTACCACCTTTACGCCAATGGGAGTGATGGCCCCCACCTCCAAGGGTTATTAGGACTACATGAGTTAATATTGGAAAGTTCTGAGAGTTGTCCACGGAGTTAGTAGAATCTCTTTTTCCCTTAGACACACATTGACTTAGAAGAGACAAAGAAGATACCCATAATATGCATTAAAATAGTTAAGGCATTTTTCTGTATAATTCTCATCTTCTGTGACCAGATAGCATTTAAAAAATAGTGCTACTAAATAGAAATGTCAAACTGAGCACAGTATTATGTTCATTTCTTTTTCTACATCACAGTAAAAGGTTTACACACATATCTCACTTAACATCATAACAATTCTGATAATTATTACCACCTCTACCTACAGATAAATAAAGGAGGCTAATATAGATTATATAACTTACTTGAAGTTATACATCAAGTAGACAGCAAGATCAAATGGTCTTTTTTTGGGAGGAAGGAGTTGCCACAATTAAACAAAAGACACAACCCAAAGCAATGAGCTCAAGTACTATTTTAAAAGACAACATTTTTAATAAACATGTCATCACACTAAAATCAATATATTTTAAGAAATAAATTTTGAAATCTTTTGATAAAGAGTGCTAGAGTCTGGAATACAGTTCTTTGACTTTGGCCATTTAGGACAATCAATGTCATTGCTGATTAATTCCTCTACAATGAGTTGGTCTAAGATAAGCACTTTCTTAAAGCCAGGATTACTTACTAAGATGGCTGCCGAAGTACCTCTAAAGGAGGTTTTGATAAAGTCATGGTTAACATATCATTTTTTTTCCTAAGAGAAGTTTTAGGACACATGTACTCACCAGAGAGACACAGAGAAACAGAGAGACAAGAAGCAAGAAA